CTAAGGGATCTATTAATGCTCTTGGATCAAACCTCATTAAGCCTAATTTTCCTCATCTCCATCTTTTCAATGTATTATCTCAAACTAACAGAACATGAGCTTTCCTGGCAGAAGCTAGATCACAGAAAGACACCTGTACTCGTGGAATTTTAGAAAAAAGAAGAATCTCAGCAGAAAAACCTACTTTCATTGGCAACTCCTTCTCACTAGTGTATTCCAGTGAGTACAACTGGAACACAATTTCTTAAAAGGGAACCACAATAACCAACAATCTGGGAAAATGTAGAACAACTTTTGACTCCAATTTCATGTTCTGCATTAAACAGAAAAAAGCTCACAGAACTGAAAGATTTCAAAGCAATTCTATTGATGTCATCAGAATACTGCTTAATGGAATAGTGATCTTCTCAGCCTTCTCAATAGATTGATGTTACCAGCATCAACAATTATGCTGTAACCACAGAGCACCCATTACACCTACCTAAAAAGCCAGGTAAGTCTCTGAAAACTTTACTAACTTAAAACTTTACTACAAATGGAAAGAAAATGAGACAAGCTAAAAAAAATTTGAAAAAAAAAAAAAGCCCCTTTAGATTCCATCTAAACCATGTCTTTGTCCAACTACAAACAATACAATCATATGAGTAAATTCTACTGACCTCTCAAACCCTAAACCAAAAAGCCAACAACTCCATCATATTCATGTGTATCTCAGATTAGAGCTGTGTGCTCAGTTATAATCTAATCAATCCATATGCCTTTTAGAGAAATCCTATTTCCTTGAAAGAAGCTGTTGCATAAATGGCATGATTTCAGAAGCAAAGGAAAGCTGGAAGCTGTACATCTGGCCACTAACTAGGGAAAAATTACAGGCTGTGGGAAATCAGTAGAAACAAGGCTACCAGGGACACACAGCCATGGGCAAACTTTTACTCCTTTCAACTACAATAGCTACATTGACACTGAATTGCAGGGTTTTTTCTCTTAGCATTTCTACATATGTTTTCAAAATAGCTCAGGAGTATGGAATAATTACTAATTTACAAGGGGGAAAACATTTTACTGTAGTATAAGATTAGCAAAATTCAGAAAAAATTGTTTTAATCTGTAAAATAAAAATCTTGCCTTCAAGTCTCTTATCTACTAAGAAACTGCTACACTTGACAGTCTCTGAACTTGCACTAAAACTAAGAATCCTTTCATAGGATGTTACGAAACCCACACCATATCAATACTAGATTCTAGCACAGGCATACCCTGTGTTTTCTTTAACAGTATCATCACAAACCAAACTAAACCAAAGCAAATAAAGTATTTAATAATTACAATCCCTCCTAATATTCTGCTGTTGCTTTTTGCAAACCTGTAACATTTTTGAGTACTTACGAAAGAATTCGGTCCAGTTTTGGTCCATGACGTCCCTGAAGGACAGTAGGGGGCTTGTACACCCTCATCATTCCTTACTATCTGTACAGTTCCTCTCTTCCTGGAGCTCTTTATTTATGAAGCAGTGACCATTTTGAAGTTATTTATAAACATTAACTCATTAAATTCCCAAGTGTCATATTAGATACCAACTCAGTGACTCATATTCCTGACAATGTATTTACCACGGCTGGGAGAGAAGGTAAATTTACATGCACGAGTAGCACACACAGGCATGCCATGAACTAATCTTGTATTTTAAAATGGTCTTTGGCATTAGGTAACCCTGCAGTTATTAACAAATATGTATGTCAACTGAAGCTGGCTCATTATCAATCAGTGGAATTTATAAACACTGCCTGGCCACCTCTCTGACAAAATGAAAAACAGCCCACAGAACAAAATACCCCTTCAGTTTTGAGGATCAAAAATGGAAGCTGGAGTGTTTTAGAGCTTGCTATTACTGTACTGAAGTGAGTGCAAATTAAGGAAAATTACAGCTAGCTTCAACTACTCCCTGAGAGGGAAAGCATCCCCCTTGTATTAAGGTTTCTTACAAGACAGTAACAAAGTTATCGATTCGCCACAAAAAATTACTTCATTACACCTCATGTGTAACCTTGGCCTTACAAAAACCTCAGTGTTTCAGATGGCACATCTGGTCCTAGCAGCCTTAGAAACTGTATCACTGCCCAGTGAGCAATACAAATATTCAAGTACCAAGCTCTGCAGCAAAATAAACAAAGTGGTTTTACCCAAAATGTAAGGGCATCTAAATCCTTTCTAAAATAGAGAAAAATCTCTGAACCAAAATAATGTACTTCTGCTGGCAATGAACTAATTTCACTCTTGAATTCCCAATTTTCCCAAGATTCCTGAACACTGGTTATGAAAGCAAAGGAAAACATCAGACCCGTTGAAGAGCTCTCTTTATTATGCCACTCTTCACTGGTCAGTCCTTTGGCAAAATACTTCTGAAGAAATATTTCTATTTCTGCCTAGGAAAACCCTGAAGCTCCAAGCCACATAATTTAACTTTGAAATGAGTCCTTCTCTGAGCAGAGGGTTAGACTAGACCTCCACAGGGTCCCTTTAATTTTCATGCAAGCAGATATTTTTCTCCAGCTTAAAATAATTTAAAAACCATTTTCCTGCCCTCAACACAGGAGTCAGTTACACACTACTAAATCCAGGCACAAATAAGAGGAGGGATAGGAGAGCAGAACTCAAGGACAACTATGATCAAGCCACACTTTAAAGAAAACCCCCACCCAACAGACACATTCCACAAGCCACAGACTTGGCAAAGCCTTTCTCCTGATCCATCACAAACCCCATGTTCCTTCCCACGCAGTAACATTTATTCCCATTTCTTGCATTCCCTGTAGTCTTACTGCTCCCCACAGGATTCAAGTCTGCCCACACTGCTTTTACCCTTTACTGAGATTGGAAATGTCACTTGGAGATATGTAAAAAGGAATATATACTTCAACCTTTTCTTCCCAACTATTTACTACTCTCTACATTATGGTAGTAACTCTTGTTCTTAGAGCCTGAAAGCTGCAAGACAGTTACTACAGAAGAGAAGCTCTAGCTTAGAGTTAATTGAACTTTATTATTACCATGTAGTTACAGGAGTAATGAGACTGAAGAGGCATTTGTGAAATGTTTTAACGAAATTACATGTTCTTCTTAAGCTTAATGACACAACAGTAATAGTCCTTCCACGGACAATCTGTCTAGCAGCATGAGTAAAACACTCATTCCAGTGCTCCATCCTTGTTTCAGGGAAAAACAAAACAAACCCAGAACCAGACTTCAAAGAGGACACTGCATTAAATGGAAACAAGTTGAGCACACTGATCAAAAAAGTCAAGCCATAAGAATGCCATCTGATAGGATGTCCTTCACATACCAAAAATTTCAAGAGACTTTCAGAGCTCTTAATATAGGGCAGCATTTATTCTGAGGAGATAGCACTCTACAATGCTTCTCTCAAAAGTATTTCAGCATTATAAATTTCAGATAATGCAGCTTTCTAAAGGAACAGACAGCTAATAAAAATACTAAAAACCACTAATGTAGGACAGAAAATAATATTGAAAGAAAAAAGGCTTTTTAAAAGTCTGTCAAAAGAAGTGACATAAAAGACTTTTATCATGACAGCAAACTTGCACATAAACACATCAAACAGACACATTTGTAATGAGGTTCTTGCTATTTGTTTTTAAACAAGGTAACTTTCAGATAAAGTGATTTCTGCTCAGATTTAAGAAGACACAGAAGAAAAGAGACAGACAAGTATGATGCCAATTTTGATGGCAACCCTTTGTTCAACATATTTAGCTTGTTTAGCAAATGAATTATTCCTAAATTTGCAATTTGGTTCTGCTGACCTTTTCATAAACATACTAAATGCTGAACAGCAAAATAGAAAAAGCTTCAGTGCTAATTAGACCCAACATGTTTAAGCATTCTTCCAGTCACCACAAAAAAGCTATTAGGTGCATTTACACCATCAGTCTGGACCACCTCCCATTTATTCAAGGCTCCTGTTCCCTGTATCTGTCCTGCATGTGACCTAAATCGTCCCCAGCATCCCTTCAGGAAGGGAACAGCTAATCTCCTGGGAGTATTTTGATGGTAAAATAATCCAGGATTGCACCACAGGCAGTGTGCTTGGGACAGCCCAAGGTCTTACTGTTTTCTCCTAGCCCAGTGTGACAGCACTGTCCTACAAGCCTTTGCCATGTCATACACCCATAACCCAGACACCCACCCCACAGCATCACCCCACACTGCCACGAAACAGAAGTGGGAATATGGCAACCACAGAGTTTGTAGAAATTGGGCACTTCATCAGTACATAATGATTACTAAAAGGAATGGGAAAAAACTCTGTATGTTCAAAATGCTACAGGTCTGAAAAAATATCCCAGAGGGATAGAAATTGCATGGAACAGCTGAACTTGGAGGAAGCACCAACTGGCCAGGGGGACACACACCAGTCACTGAGGGCAACACAGATATAACCAGCAGTGCTCCAGTTGAAAATTGAACTGCTAAAGGCTCTACCAATTTATACACTGAAAGCAGAAAATGAAGGTTTTTTGCTGAAGAATACAGTGTAAAGGCAAACAAGATTTCCAACAGAATGTTCTGATCTAGCACATCCACACTCAGGACAAAAGCCCTGCCATTCATGATGCCTCAGTTCTCTGCTTCTAAAACTTCCTTCCTCGCTTGTTGCTTTTTTCAGTGTCAAAAACTGAACACATGACAGTCACTGGAAAATTAATTAGCTGAAAATGACAACAGTGAAATCTCCCAAGGCTTCCCCCTCTGATCTTCAACTCTCTCCTGGCATGCCAATTCCAACTGCATTGTTTGAAGGGGTGGAGAGCACGAACAAGAGATCCAGCAACAAAGTTCTTACAGAGTGGCACTGAAAACTGTGCACATACAAACGCTGCCCTCATGTAGAAGAGCAATTCTAAGTCCTTGACATTTATTTTCTCCTCATTAAGAGTCATCACTTCCTTGAACTGAACAGCTGTTGGCTTTTAATACCATACCTTCTCTGGATTTCCATTTCTTCTTGTGATGGACCATTTTGTACTTGAGAGGGAAGCTGTGAATTCTGTCGAGGCAATGTAGGACCTAAGAGTAAAGACAGATCCTAAATTAATGGTTCGATTTTTTACCATGCAAAAAAAAAGAGCACAAAATCAAAGAAAAAGGCCAGCCATCACACAACATTTTAAACTGCTCACTTTTGCTTTTTAAGCCAAACAAGCTCAACAACATAATGCAGCAAATAAAAACTGTAACCTCACACATGTACAATGTTACCTCACGCATCTGCAGAATGAATTTATTTCACATGGATGGAAAGGTCTCACAAAAATGCAAAACAAACTTTCTCTATGATGGAATTTGACAAAAGCTTTGAAAAGCACTCCAAGTCTGTTTTTTTTCTTAAAACAATGAACAAATACTCTTGGAGGAGCAGGAAAGGCTCAAAAAATTAAAACACTCACCTAAATAGAACACTGGAAAAGGGGGAGAAAACAGAAAAAGGAAAAAAACAAAAGAACAGGAGAAAAACCATCAGAACCATACCACCATAATGAGAGAAGGAAGATAAAGCATGTTTCTACAGCTCACATCAAAATTTACTCAGATTTCAGGTCATCAACTTGGATCAAAGACCTTTTTTGCATAGATAAATGTTGTGTCCAAGGGAATGGGGGCATATAACAAATGTGCAAACTGTGAATTCTGCTAAGCACGAGATATGCAAAAGGGAAGGTCATGCAAAATCATCTTCAGCCTTTACTAATGGGAAATTCTGAACCATACAACTTTCAAGTAGTTGTCTAAGAGAGATCTGTATTCTAGAAACCAAAAAAGCTTTACCATTTTAATCACAAATGTGTATTTACAGCAGAAAACTGTGTAAAAACAAGTGAAGAACAACTAAGTGTAGAATGGAATACAGGAGACCTAATGGATGCATTGCTACTGTCAGACAGTAATCCAGGAAATTATTTAGACTACAGCTATGCTCAAGATTATGGAATTTATAAGAAACAAGAATTAAAAGCGATTAAAAGATCGAATTTCAAAAATGTCCAAGAGCAAAGCAATGATTTCCCACTGATATTTCACCAAACTAGTTAGAGTTATGGAGTTGTAATGAGATCTTCCCTATCTCAAATATCAAAATGCAAAATTTTTTGATATCTGAACTTGTGAAAGTCACCCAAACCCATAAAAAGACCATGTGTGATACACTGACACATCAAGGACAGGCAATTTGCTTGAGACACAGCCAAGAAGTGTTTAAAAGCCCTCCAAAAAGGTTAATTTCCTCAGAATGCCACAGTATTGTGTCCACTGTGACCTTTAATCATGAAAATCATGAAAGTGTACACTATCTATGTACCCTACAATTACAAAAAGTAATGGGACTTAATTGTGGAGGATGAAAGCAGGCAGTGTACTACAGAGGTGGTGTCTTCCTTAGGTATTCTTCCAGCAAGCATTAGGCCCTTATACCTAATGCTTTGATGTTGCCTGGGATGCACTATTTTTGCTTGAAGCATCTCCAAGAGACACCCCCAGGTATAAAAGCTGTAGTGTTTTAAATGCAAAAAAAATTTTATCAATTCATCATTGCAGTTAGATGATCATTAAGCAGAAACATCTGTCACATGGCTCATCTGGAAAACTTTTCTGCTTTAAAACTTCCATAAGACACACGTCCTCCTCTCCTCTCCCCTGTGTGACAGGTGGAAAGCTTTAATGCCCATGAAGCCATGACTGCAGCTCCCAGGCAGCTGGGCTATTTGCTGCCTGCACCAGGCTGCAGCCTTTCATGGCCTTTTACAAGCACACACAATCCAGCAGCAGTGAAAGGTGCTATAAACACCAGCACTGCTGCTTGCCATGCCCAGCAGAACACTTGGAGTAAGTCAAGGCTCACAGCTTGAAATGCAAACTGCGAGCAACACTTGAAGTATCAGACATTGGATGAAATTCCCATCCCATTCCTCAGAATGAAACACAGTGACCTGAAAATTAATGGATTGCTTAAAAATCAACTTAACTTAAGGAAGTTAAAGACAGTCAAAAAAGCTTCGCAGTCCAAGGAGTGAAATTTAACATTATTGGTAGCCTGAACTGTGGTAGGTTGATTAATAATGAAGAACAGAAATAAAAAGAAATGGTCACAATGTGTCCATATACCAACCAGAACTATTTTGTGCTGAAAATGCAGTAGAATTGAGAAATTCAAGGTTCAGCCAATTTAATCTTCAAGAGTATTTAACAGGGCTTTTTGAGGCAGCTATTATGCTGTAGTAGCATGCAGACCACCACTCTCCAACCTTTCTACCTTAGTCCTTCTTCAGCCATCACCTACAGAAAGTAAACACCAAGCTTCATCTGCACTGGCTATTCCAACACACCCAGCTGTGAGGAAACCTGTTCTTGTAGCCTCAAACTTTGCTCCAGAGCACTGTCCTTCAGAAAACCACATTATCCATTAATTCTGCACAAGGCAAACATGAGCAAGCCAAGCCAGCTTTATTTTGGCCAGCCCACTCCAGTGATGGGCTTCTTTCACAGCTAGGCACACAGGAGACAGAACAAAATCACCTGCTGGCAATTAACCTGGTGGCTCCAGTACTTCTTACACATTTCTGCCTCAAGGAAATGCAAGGTGAGTACACCAAAGGCTTTCAAGAAAGGGAAGCTCAGCTCCAAAGTCATCTCTCCTGTTTTCTTACGAAGTTTCCCTCTGCAGCCACCCTGCTAATGAACATTAGACAGTTGAAGGTACATGCCAGGTGGAAAAGTATGTTTTATCCTAGAAGGTTTATTACAGCAAGGCAAGACTACCCATTTATTGCTAAAATACAACTGCCTGGGTAGCAGGACAGGTGGTATATTAAATAAACAGGAACTAGCTAATAAAAACCTCTCTCAGAGGTTTCTGAACACTTTAAGATACCTCAGAAACATCAACCCCCATGAGAAATATTCAGATACTGCCTGGAAAGAAGTCTGATTGTTCTACAGGATCACTTTATCTTCAGAAGCCAATATAAGCCAAGTGAGAGATGAGGCTGAATGGTCTATTAATTCTGAGTTTTAAAGAAAACCTAACATCCCTCTTTTTCTAAAAAAGCACAGATGGTGCACTCTGCAGCACATTCTGACAGACAGAGGATATAATTTTATACTAATTTGTTCAGCAGCCATTCCAGTTTCAGTGCTTTCTGTTTTTCAGCTTATTCTCTCACCTTTGCATCACCCTTCCTCTATGACAGTTCAGGCAACTGTGTGGTGAGAGATGGCCTGGCAATCTAACACATTAAAAATCTCAGGGAAAAAAGCCTGCATTAAGCATTTCCACCAGCTAGATGACAGCCAGACCTGGTTCTTCATTCAGTCACACAGACAATTACGGTGACATCAACATCAGAACATCAACATCAGACTGCTGGGGACTGCTTGAACCAAATCAAGCATCCCCAACATCGCCCTTTTAAACCACAACCAGAGTTATAGTTTATCAAACTCCTTAATTTTTTTAGCCCTAATTGACTGGTTACTTTGTATCTCTATTCAAAAACCAAACCATTTTCAGTTGCACAACCCTATGAAAGCATAACTGGCAAGCTGGGGAAGGAAACACAGGGTTTGTCCCCCCTCAATGCCTTTTGCTCCTCTGTTGCTTCACTCGTTCAGTTACCTGGTCTGTTCTGGAGTGTCACACCACACCCTACCCTGCTTCTTTTCATGCCAGCTGCATTGTATGTTATCAGTGTTGACACTGGCTGATACTGAAAATATCACATTCCTGTAGCCCTAAAAAACCCCAAGCATCAGCTGTTCAAGATTGGCACAACACATGTCCTGCAAGTTACACACTGAGCTCCAGTGGGGGTTTTCCTTTGGCTGGACAGGCTCACTTGGGAGCTGGTAACACAAGGATGGATGAAAAGGGGTTTGGGGGGACCAGGGGCAGCCAAATCATGTGAAATCTTCCTCAGAACCTCACATGCCCTAAATCAATAAGGCAAAACCACACAGAAAACCTCCCACCTGCAATTATTGCACTTCAGAGTACAGCAATAAAAGACAAGCCGTAATTTTTGAATAAATCTCCTAAAGCTGGTCAGCTATCACACATGAGAATTTTAGTTTGAGGTGAAGATCTCAATTTTCTCCCCAGAGAAAAAGTTTATATAAAGTAACTAAGAAATTCCACTCCTTCACTTCTCAGTATGTTAGTGCCAAAACTAAGCAGAGTTCCAATTATATAGTCTGATATCCAAATCAAAGTGTGACTTGCCTTTTAGAAGTATTTTCAGAGACTGAAAGTGGACAGCAAATTTATTTGTACGTTTATATGATATAAACATAAGTGACCTGGCTAATTATAATCTTTAGAAAATATTTTCTTTGAGGACAGTTTGAATACTCCTACTAAACAAAGCCCACACGCCAGGCAACAGTTCAAAGCTACAGCCAAAAAGATGTATTTTTGTTAGGGTATATAAGAACTCACCAAAAAAAAAAAAAAAAAAGTGTGTTTTACTAAATGGTTAAAGGTTTTCTGAATGAATGGAAAGCAGGCTTTTCAGAGATCTGTGCAGGAAGCAGTAAGAACAACAACTGTGGTATCCCTCTTTGATGTGTCTCCAGCTCCTTCTCCCATTCAGAGCCTGTCCTGCTCCAGGCCATGCCAGAACAAAGGCTGGGTTGATTTGCCAACCAGCCCTGAGCAGAACCAAAACCACGTCACTCCTCTATTGTATTTGTGGGGTGCCCAGACGAAGGAAGGAATGATTAATCTGACCATGTTCTCAGAAGGCTAATTTATTGTTTTAAGATACTATATTATATTAAATAATACTAAACTAAACCATACTAGAGAATACAGAAAGGATATTTACAGAAGGCTAAAAAGATAATAAAGAAACTTGTGACTCTCTCCAGAGTCTCGACACAGCTTGGCACTGATTGGCCAAAGAGTAAAAACAATTCTCATCAGAAACCCAATGAAACAATCGCCTGTTGGATAAACGATCTCCAAACACATTCCAAAGGAGCAAAACACAGGAGAAGCAAATGAGATAAAATTGTTT